CAGACTCTCTTGCACAAGTTCTTAGCAGGAGGCATCAAGACAGTCTCCCAGGCGGCCTACGCTGCCACGCCACCTGGACAGGTGCTCACGGATGACAAGGTTACCGACCTATGCAACAAGCTGGGAGCGCACAATCTGTCACTTAATCAGCTAACAGTCGTGAAGCGGCTGTTGTTCGAGGCTCAGACGATGAGTCTTGCACACCTCAAGGCAAGCATCGACCAGCAGCCAGAGAGCGCGGTCCGCAAGTTGCCAGGAGCGGAAAGGGCCCAGAGGTTGGAGCTGCAGGCTCTGCGTCTTGGAGGTCTCGAGATAAGGAACGACTTGGAACCTGCATTCTGTGTTTATGATGCGGTTACCACACAGATTGAACAAGGCTCCTTGAAATACATTCATCCCAGCAAGGTCCCCACGAGACAGCAAGAGCTGTCTCAATCCAAGCCAGCCAAGGAACTGACTTTGGATGCGTCAGGCAACGGCCTGGCAATACAGGACAAGTCGTCCAAGGTACAGGCCCAGCTTGGAACCGAGATGGCCACGTACAGAGCACTGCAGAGGAGAGGGCTGGCATATGATTTGATAGGAGTTCTGAGCTTTCGAGTGCACGAGCGGTGGCTGCAGAAAGCCTTTGCGCACATGAGTACTCCCGCACCGCCAGGCTATAATCGACCTAGCCTGCAGCAAGTTCTCAGGGCTGACAGAGCCCTGTGGCTCGAGCTGGCAAGCCGGCAACCGCAGTTGACAAGGTCAGCGGCCAACGCCCCCGCCGCAGACGCCAGGTGCCTGGACAAGGCCTTCGAGGAGGCTAGCAGCACGATGGATGTGAATTTTCACTTCATGCCTTTGGTGCATGCACCGCAGCAGCTGCATGACAAAGGGGGCCACGGGGGACGATGGAAGAGATGGGGGGATGGCAAGGGAAGTCAGTGGACACATCAAGAGAAGTGGCAGAGAACCGATAAAGGTAAGGGTGGAGGAAAGCCTGCTTTCAAGGGCAAGGACGATGGTAAAGGGAAAGGGAACAGTTCGAAGACGCCCTTTATCAACATGTCTTTGGACTATCGGAGTAGCAGGAACACCACGCCCATGCCAGCTGGCCTTCGTGGTGGTGTGCCGGCTGACGATAACGGAGAGGCCATTTGCTTTGGCTTTGGACTGGGGCAATGTAAGGAGGCCCCAGTGGGAGGCCGCTGCCCTAAGGGTCGTCACGTATGCTGCTTCCCGGGCTGCTTCGGCAAGCACCCATTCATAGAGCACAAAAACAAAGCACCCAAGGCCTGAGAATTGGTGACCCCTCAGGGTGCGCCGAATGATGCTGCTAAGGTAGCGGACAGTGCGCATCAAGATGCTCCCAATCGTGAGAGCACGTTAGGAGCCTCAGAGGTTTTGGACAATTTTCGCGAGACCTCAGTGGTCTTGCCACTTCAGAGTACACAGGACTCTGAGACAATTTTGAAGCATCAGGAGGAACAATGTGCTGAGCCTCTCGTCAAGAAAGCACAGGCTAAGGATCACGGAAGCTCCCAGGAGCAACAGCAACAACAGGCCAACACAAGCGACGGATGCGCTGTACCTCCCTTAGAACAAGGGTCGGCTAGCCGCGCTCCGGAGACGGCACCGGAGTTGCCGGACTCTCCCCAGGCAACGGAGGAGAGCGGAAATCAGAGTGCAGAGACACGACGGCCACAGTTTTTGCAGGGATGTTGGATTCTGGAGATCTTTGCCGGGACTGCAGCAATGGTGGCGGCTGCTGCAGCCGAGGGCCTTAGCCGCTCAGTTGGGATCGATCATGTTAGGTTAGCCTCCAGAAGAGGCAAGGTCATTCAACTTGATTTGCTGCTGCCATCTCACCGTCAGTTGCTTTGGAAATGGCTACGGGCCCCAGGGCTAGTGGCGGTTTGGCTGGCGCCTCCGTGCGGCACGGCCAGCAGAGCACGCGAAATACCACTCCGCAGAGATTCCGAACCACGACCGCTGAGGACTTCAGAAAACCCAGCAGGCAGGCCTGACTTGAGCCCCGACGAGGCCGACCGGGTTGGGAAGGCTAACAGTCTGTATCGCATAACTGCTGAGATTTGGAGCTTTTGCCTGCAACATGACATTCTTGTGGTCATTGAGAATCCATACCGCAGCTTCTTCTGGCACCTTCCGGAAATTACATCCATTTTGCAGGACGACAGAGCAGTGCTCGTTCGCTGCGACTTCTGCATGTTTGGGGGTAAACGTCTTAAAAAGACTGCGTTGCTGGCAAACGATCAGATCATACATGCTCTAGCCGTGCAGTGTGATGGTCAACATGAACACCTGCCTTGGGGGGTAGTTGATGGAGAGTTCGCTACAAAGCAAGAGACTGCCTATACCAATGTGTTCTGCAGGACTTTCATGCTAGCACTCACGAGGCATCTGCGGGAACGCGGATTCAAAGATGAGAGAGAGGTCCAGAGCTGCCTCGGGCAAGCAACTGCGACGGCCAAAGTACTGACCACCAAGGCACACACCAAAAGAGCGGCATCCTTCAGGATGTTGCCGGAATTCAAACAGACGCTGCGGTGGACAGTGTCGCGAGCTCAAAGAGAGCAGGTCTACAGGCCAACGTGGATGCCAGTGGATCGGATCCCGGGGTTGAAAGTTCAGACAGTGGGAGAGATCAAAGTGTCTCCCGTCTCAGGGAGTCCTACGGACGTTTGGCTGGATGTGTGTTGGTCTCCTCAGGAGTTCGTTCTGCAGGCCCGAAAGGCAGGACACCCATCCCACATGCACCTTGGCATCCCACCTGCATTGAAGCAGGCCATAGACAAGATTGCTAGGCTCAGCTCTTCAGAACTGGCCAAGATCAGGGCATCACAGTCGCGTAGATGGCTTGCGCGTGCATCGCAGCTCCAAGAAGCAGAACAAAAGTTCAAGGAGTCCTTGCCCCTGCACATTCAACAGAGTCTACAGAACAAGCGAGTCCTGCTGTTTAAGGAAATGCTTGAGGCGTCGCATTATCCTGATAAGGCGGTCGCTGACGATCTAGCACGGGGATTCAGCCTCGTAGGCCACTTGGCACTACCAGAAGGTTGGACCCCAGACTTCAGACCTGCTACTCTCAGTCTTGAGGACCTGGTCGAATTGACACAGGAATCCAACGAGCAGGTTGTCAAGGAGGTGGCGGCCTCTACCTCATTCACGGAGGAGCTTTGGCAGAAGAGCATGGAGGAGGTGGACAAGGGATGGTCCGAAGGACCTTTCAGCCTAGACCAGGCTCCCGAAGGGGCGATATTCAGCAAGCGGTTCGCAATTCAACAAGGCAAGAAGGTCAGGCCGATCGATGACCTCTCCCAGTCCTTTCTCAACGCATGTTTTGGATCCGAAGGTAAGATTGAGCTGCATGATGCAGAAACAATCACGGCGGCCATCCTCATGTTCATGCGGAGGAGTGATGCAGACCTGGTCGGAAAGACCATTGACTTGAAGTCGGCCTACCGACAACTCCCGCTGTCGACTGAGGCCCTCAGAATGTCCTTCGTCGCGGTAAAGTGTCCTCGGACAGGACAGGTCATGCTGTTTAGGTTGCTCTGCCTGCCCTTCGGGGCTGTAGCAGCTGTACACTCCTTTATCAGGATCAGCCTAGCTCTGTGTCATTTGGGACACTTCTTTTGGCTTTTGCCGTGGTCAAGTTTTTACGATGACTACACTTTGCTTTCGACCTCAACGGCAGCCCAGTCCAGCGATCGCAGTGCTTCCTTTTTGTTGGACCTGTTGGGTTTCGACTTTGATAGGGACGGTGACAAGGCACAGCCGTTCAAGAGCCACTTCAGGGCATTGGGCGTGGAATTCAACTTGGCTGCAGAAGGTCACAAGACCTTTCAGGTCGGGAACACGAAGGAGAGGACCGACGAGTTGATCAAGGACTTGGCAGAGCTTGCAACCTCGGGAAAAATTTGGCCCAAAACATGGAATCGTCTTAGGGGACGCCTACACTTCGTCTCCAGCCAATTGACGGGCCGGGTGCCCAAGAGACTCATGCGGAGGATCTCTGAATACGCTTCGGCGCCCAGGCACGAAAAGGGACAGCACCAATCTGCCCTTCGCAATTGCCTGCTTCAACTTCAGGACTATATTTCTGAGGCCAGACCCAGGACCCTGAGAGCCTTCTCGTCTGAGACCGTGTACCTTTTCACGGATGCTTCGCAGGAAGGAGAGGCAGGCTTGCACATGGGACTCGGAGCCGTGCTCTTCAACCAGCAAGGGAACATTCTGGCTTGGTTCGGCATCTCTTTGCCTCAGGAGCCGGCTGAGGTGCTGGTGGCCGGCAAACAGAAAGTCATAAACGAGTTGGAAAGTTTGGCGGTGCTTTTGTCCTTCGTCCTCTGCGAGGCATTCATCAAAGAGCGCCACATCATGTGTTACCTGGACAATGAGGCCGCACGGGTAACCTTGCTCAAGATGACGAGCGACTCGGAGACCCTCAGCCTCTTGGCCCACACTTGTGCGCTGTTGGAAGAAGCAATGGGCATGTTCACATTTTACGGGCGGGTGCCTAGCAAATCTAATGTAGCTGACGCCCCGTCTCGTTTGGACTTCCGTGGCCTTCCACCTGACAAGAGGATAAGAGATGATGAGGTCCTGGCTCAAGTGCGAGCCATTGTTGTCAACCTGCAGCAATCCCTGAGCCAAGGGAACTGTTGACCAAGGAAGGGAATTGGCCCCCTCCTCAGACCAAGAGTGGGTCAGAACTGTTTTTCTCACCGAGTGCAAGGACCACAGAGAGACGGAAGTTCAGCTACAGGCAATCCCCTTCCTTGGAAAAAGAGTTTTCAAGCTGTTTTCATTTGTGCATTGCAAACGTTGTGCTACGCTTGAAGCAGAATTGGAATTCCCTGAACCGTCAACTCCGCACGTTGATTTTCTTTCTCAAGAAGGTTTTCGTAGGAAAATAAGGTTATCGTGCTGCAAGTACAAATCTTTATTTTCCACAGAAAATTTTCGAATCTTCATGATGAGAAAATTTCGGCTTTCAGTCCTGGGCAAGCTCTACAAGAGCTGGGAAAGAATTTTTCTTGTGGCCATACGTGCTACGGAATTATTCTGTAGCGGGCAGGGGGCGATGGCTGAAGCCCCAAACCTGGAGGGTATTCTTGCGCCGTTGCTGCTACGTG